AAAACTTTAAATATTTTATTGATAGAATAATATAAGTTTAAATGTCACAGGGAATATGTATTTTCTTTCTTGATCCTTTAATGGTTATTCGTAAAATTTCCCTTTTAGTTGAATGTAGATCATTCTACTTGAGATGATACAGGCTATAAATAAAGAACAGGAAATGAAGTAAAACACGGCGTCAAAAGATTGGGTCGCGTCAAACAAGTAACCTGAAAAAAAAAAAGAAATTGTTAAAATAGAATCCGTCTTTTAATACGTATACCTATCCCTTATATACCACTGATCTTCCGGTATGTTACGAATGTTACAGTAAATACCGGATTATCTATTTTGCCGGACTAACATTCAATAAAGCACCCATTTATTTTGAATCTCTCGGATTTCTACAGGCTTATTATAATCATATTTGTATTTGATAATTATCAACGTTTATTTTTCAACACAACCATTCAGCATTGTTCATCTGGCTATATGCAGCAGTAAAATTCTGAAAATCTTTCATCATCCATATAATTTTCTCATAAAAAAATTCCCAACCTTTTAATCTAAATTTGTCCTTCTTAAAAAAAAGCATAATTTGGTAATCATTTTGCTATTTAGTTCCATTGTCTTTGCTCGACTCAAGGAACAAAAATAAAACGACTTTGACAATAATTTTTTCAATTTCACATGATATTTGTATTTACATTTCTATTACATTTAAAATTACTTATTAGATGCAAATATTTGTATATAAATTATGCTTATCTTTTTGTCGTTGGAGACATGCAAAGTTGTGTATATGTGTTTTTGTATATGTGTATATATTATTTTTTATAATATTTCCTATTTCTATTTATTTCTTAAATGTCTATAATTGGAAACAGAAGCTATTGGTTTATACCAACGGCTTTCCATACTTCATACTTCTCCAATTCACTCTCATGTGGTAATGTGTGACGTCATGACATGCGGTGCGATTTTCGCTTCTAGCGTCTTATATGCACGTGTTTATCGTTGCTTAGAAATCATCTACGTAAACATTGACAGACTATCATCACTGACTTGTCCGTATATTGCTTAATATATTGTAATTGACATCTTTGATAATGGCTTAAGTAAGCCGAAAGCTTTAGATTGTATTAAAAAAATATGGATCAATATTGTGAATTTCTTTCTTCGTTCAACGATAATGTTATTAAACTTATCAGGCGTTACGAAAGAAATTTACATAAAATAGACAACACTTGTCTATATTATTTAATGAAACGTTTATGAATATATATATATATATATATATATATATATATATATATATATATATAAAAAAAATATTTAAATAATGCAACGGTTAGATTTCAGTCTGCACCAGTCGATTGTATTGCGCATAAAAAACATCGTTGTAAATATATATATTATATATATATATATATATATATATATATATATATATATATATATAAACTATAAAATCCCTAACGAATGGATACTATATCTGTGAAATTTCAATTCTGTAAAGATGTTAATTTTTTTAGCAGTAGTAGTCTTTGCATTATTATTAGCGCTTAGAGAGGAGCACGATTTAAGAAAAGAAAGAAAAAACATGTTTTACAGTATTTCGACATTAGGTTTGTTTTCTTCAAATTAAGTTTGAAAATTACATAAAACTATAAGAATATCAAAAGATAATATGTCGTTGTACAAACCTCACTTGTCTTGAGAAAAACAGTTGTACTGGTAAGCAACACGTCAAAACGAATAAAATGTAGCCAACGTGAATAGCGTGCAAGCGAATCGTGAGTATTAAGACATTATCATCATCATCATCATCATCATCATCACTATTATCTTTGTCATCGTTGTTTTTGTGATTATTATTATTATTATTATTATTATTATTATTTAGCAAGAGCTAAAAGGATACAACATTTGAGCAAGAAGGAAAAAATAATGATTTCTTCAAACAAAATTTTAGGAAGGATATTTCAAACAACACTTGAAGGTATTTTAAACTTGAAAGGTAATAGACGTGAAGAACATATTTCCCTGACAAATTATTTAAGAGTAAGATTTTATGAATTTCAACCGACAGTAACACTGGGTCAATGAATGTTAAATGTCTCTTGTAGGGAAACGCTATACTTTCGCCATTACCATTAGAATTTTGTTTCCTGATTCTTTGCAAGTTTTAAAACTCTTTCACCATTTCATAAAAGACATTGCATTTTCTCTTTTTCGGATTCTTCTCAATAACAAAAGCCTTCCAGGCAACAGTATTTGTATCGACATTAATCTAACGGCTGGAGCATTTTTCTGGCAGAAGTGTGTATCTCATCTCCTATAATTGATTTATACGACTCAGTGCATAAGTAATACCTTCTGATGGGAATCTGAGCTTTCTTCACCGCCATTATCAAGCTATTATCTTATTCTTTTAGGTTAAATTAATTAACTTGTCTACACAGTAGATGTTTATGTTAACATCCCTTAAATATATGTCAAATAACACTGTGGATTTACGTTCGCATTGTGTTTGTAAGTGGAAACCTGCGTCTCTCGACAATTTTAAGAGCATTAGTATGCATTATATCAAAGTTTTTAAAGGGCGCGAAATATAATACTAAGTACCAGTAATTTAACAGGAGAATATGTGTCAAGAGTTAAATAATAATTAACATAGGAGTTATTTATCTGTAGCGTACGTTAGAGATCGTTGCCTTGAAGGTGGACTTTATTTAACAAAAATTAAAATGAGAAATTTGACTGTTTTTCAAAGTCTTATCTTTGACCCCAAAATAATTCAACCTTTTATATGCAAAGCAGCTAAATAGTATGTTGAGTCTTAAATAATTAGCGTTTCTGGTTATCAACTTCAAAAAAGCACAACTATATTTTATTTAATTATAAATTGTGTTCCAGTAACTTAATGCGATTTTAAATGTGGATTACGTTTAAGCGTCTAATTATTTTTTTTCCTTTTCTTTCAAATTTGGCGGACATTTGAGCGATATTATTTTTCCCGCATAATTGTAATGGCTTAAATAACACGATCCAATAGAGAAATAAATAAATTTTCACCACTAACACTGATTTATTTACTCCGTTTTAACAAAGCACTCTTTATATATAATCCGTCTTAATGAAACACCTTTTATAGCCACCATTATTTCCAATGACTTTTGGTCACTTATCAGGTAGTTCTTAGCTTTATTTTGAGTAAAATTCTGCAGGTTTTGATGTGAAAGAAGATTTGCATGACCTCTTTGTTGAGATGTTTGGAGTGTTTCCGCGTGCGTGTGTTGAAATAAGGACAAACACATACGTAGGGAAAAATACTGGTATATTTGAAGAGGTATTTACAATAGAGAGGTTTGTCAAACGAACGCAGGTTAGTAAGTAACAATCAGCAAGAGTCTACAGTCCAACGTAACCTTCCGGTCGAGAGACGGAAGTGAGATGGTCTCCTGATCTCTTAGATCTCCCGATCTCCCCTGATCTCTCTAGCACTGACCTATATAGTAGAGAGATCAGTCCATTATCATCAGAAGGTGGGTGGCCCCGACACTATTGAATCTAATTTTCATTAGAAAAATGTTTCCTCAACATTAATCAAAAAATTTAATAATTGTTTGGTTCAGGTACAGGTCTATATGTCGGGTTGGGTAAAACAGAGTCGGAAAATGTTTTATGCGTGTTGTAAGCGGCAGAGTATAACATTATCTTTTAATCCATACTGTACACTGTCATTGCCATACACTAGCTAAGGATATGTTAATGTACTCTGAATTTATTCTTAACTGTTAGCATGATCACTCGTTATGATGATTCATTCATCATTACAATTGGGTTTCAAATACAGAAATTACTTATTACTCACTCTAATATATGGGTGAATATCCATAAATGAAGTTTGGCTCATTCGAAACAATGTTTCAAATATTACTATAACGTTATCAGATCAACAAATAAGCAAACTTGAGACACGACTCACTTGTTAAGTGTAACACCTTTCAATGAGAGATTACATAACATTACTAAACTCCTTTCGTCATTCTTTGGTGTATGTTTATTAATTTTAGGCGTGAATATTAAGAGAAAGAATATCTTTAAAACTTAATAACATTATAAAAGACTATATGAAAACTTTTTTAAAGATTGCTTACCACTTTAAGATTCGTTTATGATAATTACATAAAACGTAAAATCAATTAGGCTCAATATTTAAAGAATAGTTCATTTCATTGCATTTTCAGGACTAAACATTTCTTAAACTATTGAAACTAATTGATTTTAACGTTTTATGTAATAAACAATTTTTGGCAAAGGCGGCGGCGAATTTTTAAACGATTTGAAAAAATGAACTGAACATTGAATAACAAAAAATTTTTCGAGAAAATGGCAAAAAAGCACTCTTAAACTAAAAATAAAAAAAACATTGAATTGTCTGGGACACATAATTAAAGAGGACTTAGATAATTTGACACGCAGAAGAGTAAAGTTCGCTTAGAAAATTTGACAATCACAGGACATTGAAGGCAAGTGGGTCCAGATGAAAGCAAGTCATAATCTACCTAATGTGTAAATAGTTGTCAGAACAGGAATCAGTTGAGATAGTAAAAAAAAAAGCTACGAAGAATGTGAAATGGTTGTATTTCAAAAGAACTGAACAAGGATGAAATTTTAGGAAAAATGGAAGCCAAAAAGGAAACATATTTACAATCTGAACAAGACAATTGAACTTTTTAAGAATGCATAATGAAGAAAGAGATCTTAGAAATTTTGAAATTCACAGGATGAAAGATGGCTTTGATAATTCGCCATTCAAAGGATATTGAACACAAGAAAGATAGGAATACAGCTTATAACCTACCTAATTTGTTTGAGGAAATATTTGTCAGAACATGAATCAGGAGCTTACTAAGTGCTACAATGTATGGGAAATTGAGGAAAGCCATGTCTGCCCACATCCTGAAGAGACACGGCAAATAGATGAAATAGTTGTAGTTAAAGAAATGACTTCACTTACCTGTTATTATCGTGTCGATGATATAAGTCAGGCCAATCATAAGGCATAAAGGGGAATATCCTTTGGTCAAGTTCCTCACTCCCAAAATTGAAGATACAAGCACAACCCGCAGGGGAAAGGTAAATCCTACAAAACAAACAGATGAAGAGTTGAAGAAGATTGACGTGGACAGCAGTACACAAGCTGTGAATAAAAAATTTGTATTTCTCATGTTTTACACTGGATTTTGGCGGGAACAGGTAGTCATCAAATGTATCACTTTAATAAATATTAATATATATTTTAAATAATAATAATAGAAATCAATAAATAAATAAAACAAGAATAATATAAAAGTATCATCAAAGACATGAGAATATTATTTTTATTATTATTTTTGTTGTTAAAAAAGAATTAACTATTCTGAACCTATATATATATATATATATATATATATATATATATATATATATATATATATATATATATATATATATATATATATATATATATGTTCATAATAAAATTCTTTTCGAACCTATATATATATATATATATATACACACACACACACACACACACATATATATATATATATATATATATATATATATATATATATATATATATAATGACGTATAATACGAATTTGTTTTGACGTTTTATTATCTTATGTTCTAGTTCATCGATTTGTTCACGCTGTACTTTTGTTGTCGAAGCAGAAAAGTTTGTGCTCATTATAAATTGTCGTCGACGTTTTTATTGTCATTTATTTGCAGTAAATTTCAATATCCTATTTCCCTCAAACGGGCCAGTATAGCCAGGCAATAATTCTATAACAATGCCGCCGTGAACCTGTTGATGATAATTTTAGCTGACTTGTACGTTATATTAAAAAAGCAATTTATATAATTAAATAACGATATGGTTTTATTGAGAAACACTGGGAAATATTAAAATGTATTTTAGCAATAAATCGATTCTGCACTACTTTTTGTTATAAAGAATTAGTTTGATACCTTTAGGTATTTCCGGAGCATTTAAAGTGCAATATCCCTGGAAGCTAGGAATTAAATTTTACAAATCCGGTTAAAATTCTCCCGGTATTTTGAACAGGTGTAGAGGCTTATCCCTTGTTTCCTGTTTAGAATTGGGTTTCCGGCTCCTTCTCAAATATTTTCATTATCTCTCACTCCTAGTTTGCCTTTGCGTCTTAGTGGTATCGTCGCCTTGCTTGGGGTGAATTGATTATAGTAAATATTTATATTGGTCTACCTTTCTTTTGTTATGAACTTTCGATCGGTGTACGTTGAGACCTTCCTAGAATTTTATTTTAGAAATGATTAATCTTTTTCTTTTGGGCATGCGCATGTCTTCCCAATTACATCAAATCGATGACTGTAAATTTTGGACCGCCATGTCTGTGTTTCTATTTTATTCAGTGTTCCCCATCTATTATTCGGTATGACAATTGCAGGATTTGAATTTGGTATGCATGTTAATTCATCCAAGCGTCTTATTCTTTTTAATTCCTCTTGTCGCATATCATACAGTGCTGTTCGATAAAAGTGACTCACCTGATTTTTTTTTTTTTTTTTACTTAAAAATTTTTCGCCTATTTTGGGGGTCAAACTAATTTTTAATCTTACTAATATAAAGACCCCTTCCCGACCACCTAGTAAAAAGTTTACTCACCCTAAGGTATTCTATTGATAATTATAAATTGGGATACAAATGAGATTTATGGAAAAACTCTATGCAAAAAAAAAGTGACTCACTTATTTCCTGCAACTAATAATCAATAGAAACATAATCGAACAGCTTTAAATAAAGAAAAATAGAGGTATAATTTATTTATAATAGGTAATATAATTCAAAATATTTAATAATCTATGGGTCCTCCTTTATTTTGAATAACCTTTTCAACCCTTTTTTGGCATTGACTTGATTAGGTTCTGGCAAATCTCATCTCCAAACATTGAATTCCATTCGGATATGAAATTCACAATCAAATCCTCTTTGTTGCTCAACTGCTTTCTCAAGAGCCTGTACTTTATAATGATCCATAAGTTTTCTATGGGATTGATGTCAGGAGATTGGGGCGGCCATGTCATAACCCTCACCTGCTTCTCATCAAAGTATTTCTTTCATCAATTTTGATTTGTGACAGGGAGCATAAAATGAGCTTGGTGGGGTCGATTTACACCCTTTCAGCAGAAGGGAGCAGACAAGACTCTAAAATTCTCTTGTACTGCTCGCTCCTGAGGGTCTTTTCAATAGGTTTTAAGAAACCAGTTCCATGAAAAGAAAAGCATCCCCCAGAACATTATACTGAACGGGTGCTTGACAGTACTTACTGCTAAATTCAAAGAGCTTTCAAAGCTTCTTCTTCAGATTTTAGATCGCTTATTGTTGTGGATTCCGGGATGAAATCCGGTCTCAAATGAATGACAAACGCAGGAATGAAATATAGCAAATAAATGTATTGACGCAATAATATAATTGGTAATACGGTTAGTAGATCCAGAAATGCGATTGGTAGCAATAAAATATATATACAGTCTAGGAAATTCAGTATCGAAGTATGACTTCCTTCTGAGTCTACGTGCTCGCAACTGTGACTCCTACAAAGCGATTACCTCACTCTCTCACTGCCGGGTATTCACCGGCAGCAGTACAAGTACACACTTGGCGAGTCCCCTTGTATAAAAAAGTGGTGGACCCCTTAACACTTATCCTTTGAATTTAGCTCAACTTTCGTTTCATCGGAGAAGAGAACATTTAGTAAAAAAATCAGGTGAGTCACTTTTATCGAACAGCAATGTAAGGTCGAAATATATAGACATTATTAAAAAAAAAGAAATGAGAGATTTGTGGTTTTCAGAAGTGCAGTAGCACCAGATGTGTACTATTTGTGAACGAAGAGTCATGACCCAAAAGAATAATTTTCAAGTTATATGAAATTAAAACAACAAATGAACGAATTAATCCACACACACACACACACACACACACACACACACACACACACACACACACGCAAACACACAAAAATACACGGACGCAATGCAATAAACTGAGCGGTAATTGTTTTATCTTCGGACTACTCACCATGGAAAATGGCGAAAAGAGATGTGCATAGAACGAACCAAGGAAATGAATGGCAGAATGTAAAGGCAAAAGAAGTGGCTGCCATGCCAAGCAATGAAGACATTAGAAGATAGCTTTGAGGGATGTGAATCAGGTCAGCAAGAATTCCAACAACAATTTGGCTAAGCATGAAGACTGCACCGTAGATGGACATTGTCAAGGCTCCTTGTTCACGTGTGAGCCCAACATTGACAGCTTTTGCCGGAAGATAGAGTATAACACATTCACCCGCTGATAAAAAAAATGATAAATGAAACATTTCAAGATGGCAGAATTTGCAACATATAATTTTATCTTTTTTCTTTACACACAAGTACACGCGCACACACACAAACACACTCAAAACACACGTTTTTACAGAAAGGCGAATTGAACCATATAATCTTTCTTTTCCTATTTTTGGACTTAGTGGATGTCTTATTAATTGATTTATCTATATAATTTAGTGTTTGTTTAAATTTACATTTTAATAGCGCTTGATTATATGGCGATTTAGTTTGGTTAAAATTGTTTTACTATAAGACAGTTTGTTTATTCTTGTATTTACTGTATTTGGAATTTGGTTTATAATTGCTTTCGGGTGGTTTGACTTGATATTTATGTATATGGGCGATTGGTTTTTCTTTTGGAAGGATTTGTATGCTATTGTCGAGATTAAATGTAACGTATAGAAAATTTACGATTTTTAGTTTGGATGATATTTCGATTTTAAATCTCAGAAATTTGAAGGCCTTAATCATTTTCTTCTGTAGTTGGGATGTTAGAGGACCATTGGCATTAAGTATAACAATAAATCCATCGCTGTATAGCCCTACATTTTGGGGGTTAAGGAATCTGCTCAGGATATCTAAAATGTATATACGTATTAAATCTGCTATTTGGGCTGAATCATATGCTCCCATTGGGACATCGAAATTATCTGTAGTGTCATTAAGTCTTAGACTGTCTAGAATCCATTATGATTTTTATTTCTTCATCAGTAATTTTAGTATAGTTTTTAGCAAAACTTAAGCTATTTTCTAATAAATCTTTAGAAATGGAGGGGTAGAAGTCGATAATATCTAACTGAATAAAAGAGGCTTTAGTTTTAGATTTTAGATTTTGGAACCAGTTAATAGCGTCCGATGAATCTTTCCAAAGTTTTACAGGCCCAATATTCTCTCAAGGCCACGGAACTTCCTCGAGGGGACATCCTTTCATTGTGACTGGCAGTAGTTCGATTTCTGATCGGTGGTGGAATGTAACAAGTTTAGTTTTCGAGACATTGAATGTCATCAGCCATTTTCTTTACACTGGAAATTTAGTGTTAGATTGGTAGAGAAGTCAGCTGCCGATTTTTGATTGTCAAGAGTTTAGCGGTGCACCCCTACATACCAGTTTTGAATGCCTATCGACGTGAACGAGAATAGAGACGCAACGTTGGTTAATCATTGACGGATCGGTGGAAAGCTGGGCAATGGTCGCATTTTCTGTTTATAAAAAGGATACAGAGAATAGTTAACCAACAATCATTTTCTCACTAGCAAATATATTAAACAATATTGGGTGTGTAGGATATAGCAATAGAATATCCAATAAATTCCTTTGGTATAATAAGGAAATGGATATGTAAAGAAAAAACGACTATTCTAACAAATATGTTTGGAGTCGTTGTGTGAAATGGATATGTAAAGAAAAAACGACTATTCTAACAAATATGTTTGGAGTCGTTGTGTGAAATTATTTTATTAGTAATTCTTTTTCACCCTGGTATATTAGACCCGGGATTATTTCTGTATAAGTTTCCAGAAAAGAACACGTTTTATATGACATATATTAATATAAATATGAATTGCGAATTTATTTGCACTATTTACATCGTTCGGACTATTGTTCTCATCGTTATTGCCATAATCCCGACGTTTCAGCCGTTGTAGGCTCCGGCCTTATTCAGGTGATATCATTTAAAATTTCGAACTGAACCATTTATTTAGTCCACAGGTGTAGAGTGTTCTAATTCCACGTAACATACCTTTAGATACCTCAATTGCAGTTAGCTGGTAACTCAGTCCTCCAAGTTATCTCCAAGAACTTGCAACTCTTTGGATGAAGTCACTTTTGGATCACTCAATCAACGACTTTTATCGACTGGAGCACGTGTCCTTGGAGACATCAGCGAGTGAATTTGGAGTACTTATAAATCTAATGCTTCAATAACCATTTTTATCAGAGCTCATATTACAATTTTTTTGCGATTGTTGTTTTTTGCCATCTCTCTGGATTATTGGTTCCCATATTATATTCATGTCTATGTTTGGCCGGCTTACGAGGTTTTGTAACGTAGCATATTCTCTGATTCCTTAAGTTTCCATATATTCCTGTGATTTTCTCCGTCTGTTATTTAAACATCATCCCACAGTAGAGGCGATGATCTCCCTTTTCCCTTCATATAGGATCAGCCATGCCTGATTTTCTATTTCCCCTCGTGTTACTGTCATGTGGTGTTCCTGCAATCTCATTTTATGGCTGAGCAGATATGGAGTGAAAAGGGAGATAACTTAGTAATATCAGCTGAAGAACACCGGAGCGTACAACAGACGAAAAGTCGTGAATATAGCAATAAACATGAGGACTGCAGTCTGTACAATATAAATAGTGAACTAGCTACAATATCTCCTCTCAGAAATATGAACAGATGCGAATTTATTATTTAGTAATTTAGTATTTTTTTTTTTTTTTTTTTAGTAATTTGTATTTTTTTAACTTACCTGTCCAAAAAAAGTAAATAATTAGTAGCAATTGCATGCCGGGATTCTTCATAACATCTGGATCAAATAAGATCTTGTGAAGATAAGTACATTTGCTTTTGAATTTGTTTGTGCTGTCAGTAGGATAATTTTCTTCCAAATGTCCAAGATGTTCAGAGTTAGCCGAATTGTTGGTCTATAAATCAAAAACGATTGTATTTGTTGACAAATTTTATTGATTATTATAATCAGTTACTGGTCTATGTTACATGATTTCTTTAACGCCAATTTTTAAACAATATATGTCTTTACTTTTTGGTAAAAGGCGTCTATAGTGTGTTATGTACTTTCTTGATTTTGCTTCCAATTCAAAATATTGTAATTTCAATATAAACGTTTTTAAAGATAAAATATTAACGATAAATTCCAGTTCTAGTCCGCATATAAATCATTTTCATCCCAAAAGTCATACATCATAACATTCTCATATGTATCTGAACTTCCGCTTTCATTTCATTAGACATTTAATTTTATTTTAATTACAAAACGCGCTTCCACGAAAAGGAGGAACCTAGTGGAGATTAAAGTCATTAATATGGTATTGCAGCAAGTTTAGATAGTGTATCATTCATGGCGTTCTATAATAAGGGTACAACTAAGAGCCAGAACTAGAATCCTGTTTGGTTCTGATTGCCTTTCGTAACTGCCTCACTCAGTTGGTATATTACTCTCCATTGATAGTGGAACCTTTTGAAGTTAGTCAATGGACACAGTTCTTTTTGCACACCATGGGTCATCTTCAAGACGCTCTTCCCCCTCCTAGATTTAGTTGACCAATTTTGCACTCTTGAAATGCTGGAGCATCATCTCCTAATGTAACAATCATTACAGCAAAATTTTATTTTATTGCAAGTAATTGATAACAGCATGATTCCAATTTTTTTCCATTTTCAAGAGAAGTCGATACGAGTTACATTTGAAGTATTCTTTGAATAGTCAGGTATCAGTTTCCTTGGAAAGAAAAAATTCAGTTATTAATAAGAACAGTCTAGAGTAATGTATGTAAGATTTTACAGGTCTTGCATCATTCCTTTTTAGTCAGCCTATGAATATTTTGGCCTAACTTCTTAGTTACACCATGGGTAGATCTGTAATACCGAACGTCATGGTACCATTGCTTATCAGGCTTTTGTAGTTATATCGGCAAGGCTTCGCTTTTTTCGACACAATTCATGCAGGACACCTAGTGAGTATCGACCTAACAGTAATGATCTATGTAAATATGCTGCTAAAATGTTTTTACTAAATAAGATGTCCATATTGATAATAAATAATTAATTTTATTTTTTTATTTTATCAGTAAGTTCAGTTTATTTTTCAATACGTATTTCTATAAAGTCTCACAAGAGAAGTAACAATGATAGATAAGAAGAAAAAAATGATATCAGTGATATTTACATTTGTGTCTGTTTCATATTCAGTCATCTTTTCCTTTGGCTCGACTTCTGAATTCGGTTTTAATCGAACACCATTCAAAGATTTCGATTTCATTTCTGAAATGAGAGGCTTTGAATAGAACTTGCAAAATAAATGATACTCACTTCCTACCACTTACACTTACACTTATACCTCATTCACCATAACCATTTTAATTCTAGTATGAGTGACTCTCGAACTTTCTGTTGGGTTAAATATCGTATAAAAATACCTCAATGACACAGAGTTATCCATATTCTCATGTTTTGTTTCCTTCTTTCCTATTTCTTCATATGACAATTAGGGTCAGAAAAACACTTCTTTAATGATTATCCTATTAAACATTGTAAATATAAAGATTTTTTTAAAATTTCAACGTGTATGTACACACACATATATATCGCTCTCTCTCTCTCTCTCTCTCTATATATATATATATATATATATATATATATATATATATATATATATATATATATTATGTCTATTTTTATTCTAATCCTCTCAAATTCTTGGATCAACCTCTTAATATTGATATTAAATCCATTACGGAAGAACGCCGTAGTTTTTTCATTTCTTTTATTTTCCAAAGTAATTTCAATCCCATACAAGACCAACTTGAAAAAGTTGATCCGATAATTTGAGAGGATTAAAATAAATATAGATTAATATGTCTAGATTATTCAACCAAACATGTTTAAATGAAGATATGCTACCTTATATATCAAACATGTTTGCTTAAATAATATGAACTAAATCTGTCTGTCATTTTTTTTTATTTGTTTTCTTAAGTTTCCAAATTAGATAATTTGTGTCTTTGTGTCAATGTCAATTAGCGAAAATTCATATTTATTGTATATTATTTTATTCCCATTTATTTTCGAATGTTGCTACATTCGTTTTGAAGTCCTGTTCTGTGTCTAATTATAAAACTGTTTTCTGATTCCGGCATTCTCACGTTTGATGCAACCAATTTCAAGTCACTCATGGTGACGACATATAAACTGTCAAACTTAAGTGCATTTTTTTATTTTATTTTTTTAAACATACTTCAATATACGGATTCCTAGGGAGAAAGATAACTTAGCTACTTTGTTTTTTTATTACAATTTGTACTCTTTCTTTGCATTGCCCTACATAAAATGTTTTTATTTAGTAAAAACATATATATTATAAAGAAATTTGTTAAACGTCCAACAATAATAATTATTAGCATAATATTATTTTATACGGTGGAGTAATGGATAGCGTGTCGAATTGAGGAATCGGAGAGCCGAGTTCGAATTCCACTAAAATCCATTACATTCACTTACGTGCCAATACCCTTGGGAAATGTATGAATCCTCTTCTTCTTCCCCTACCCCAGCTATGGGTAAATAGTAGTACCGTCCGGATTCTATAGTCTTGGATGGCAACTGATCTACCGCAGTCTTTCTGCAATGCAGCAACCTACATAAAATTTTGGTGTTTTTTGTTTTTTGTTTTTTGTTTTTTATTTTTATTTTTATATATATATATATATATATATATATATATATATCGGTACCTTCAAAGAAAAGTAATACCTAAGGTTTAAAATGCATTTTTTAAAATGATAAATATTTTTGAAGCTTTTCTTTTAGTTTTTATTTTAAGATTATAGACTGGATTTAATCTATTTGAATTTTAATCTTTATAGTCATGCGAAGGAGCTTGTTGAGGAACAGTTAGAAATTTACTAATAAATTTTGATTTATTATAGTTACCGCTCCTATTTTCTGATAATGTCGAGTATGGACGTCCGTATTTACAAAATCCAACACATATATAAAAATAGACACTCGCACACAACATTCAAAATTCTTTTTAAAATACTGGGGTCGCTGAATCTTAGTAAGCATTTCAATTTATGATTAATGAATATAAGTCTTACTTAATAACAATATCATCTAACCGCTACAAATTTATACAGAATTTTAAAAGATTTAAAAATTTATTTATTATTCCAATTAAAACTTTCAAAGAAATTCAAACATTTCTTGTAACAATTCATTATTCAACGAAAAAGTATTATTTTCTTAAGACAATAGTGTCCATAATATATTTTATCCATAAAAGCAATTAAAATATTGTCTAATTAAAACATCTATTATTTTTATTTCATTTCTAAGCAGATCTTTGGTAACCTGGGGTAAAAAAGTGGATGATTTAAATTCTCGAAGGATATTTGCTTATAAAGAATAATTTTGCGGGACAAAAATGGATTTCTCAAAATTTTATAAAATTAAATAACTGAGCGATAAGAAATGTAAAAAGAAAATATAGTCGTTATACTTTTGACGATAGGGTGATGTTCCAAGAAAATGCAACATTGATGTAATTGTGACTATAACAACTTATACAGTCACAACTGCACTGGGCTGGTGACGTTGCAAGGATGAGTGGCAACAGAATGCATAAGGTCCTCATGCATCTCCAGATTGACAGTAGACAAAGGATATATAATTCAGACTCAGATATATTATGATTCAGAGCAGATTTTCGGTAAATGAGGGTCCGTCTTACAAAAGAATTGATGGTTTAAATTCTACAATGACTTTTGCTTAAAAATAATTTTAACATTAATCGGTACAAAAATGGATTTCTCGAAATTTCACAAAATTAAATGCGTGGGGGTTAATAATTGTAAAATAAATATTTTAGCAAGAGTTTCTAAAGAAGAATTTTTTCTAAAATAATTTAATTCATTTGCAAATAAGTCATGAAAGATAGTCGACATGGTAGTCCGACAATTATTTGATTTTTTTCATAAATTTTCAAATCTGTTTTTTTTTTTTACCGCAAAAACAAGAACATTTCTCATACCAATTTATGGTCACTTGCTGACGCGAAAAAATTAAAAATTCTAAACTGAAATTTTGATATAATTTAATAATCAAAATCCTTTCTTATTTCCGCTTAATAAAAACATAGATTTTGACGATAATCTTTGGTGCATTTTTATCATCTATACTCATTTGTTAGTGAACTGAATATAATCTAGACACGGTGGAGTAATGGATAGCATCTCGGATTGAGGAATTGGAGAGCCGAGTTCGAATTCCAGTGATATCCATTACATTCACTTTCATTTACAATTACGTATGGAAGGTATCAATCCTCTTCTTTCAGCTGTGGATAAATAGCAGGACAGACCGAGTTCTATAGCCTTGGATGGCAACTAGTCTACCATTAGTTATTATAAAGAAATAACAACTTAATGCGAGGAAAAATCTGCCTCGTCTGTCATGTATCGAAAGATACATGATCGCCTTAGCGTATATCATGCATGGAATATAATTTACTGATATAAACTAGCGACAGTAGGTAATAACTGATATAACTGTTAAGTGTTTTTCAATTATTTATCAATCACAGTTCAATTCAGTGAAACGGTGACTGAAAATTCTATTGTTATGACGAAATCAAAATAAATTGAATTTACTCGAAAGTCAAAAAATGGTGATTACTTATAATACAATAATATCCAGCGCATATTGTTTCGCAACTGATTTCATTGAAAATTATAATGTTGGAAATTTACTTACCTTTCATTTTCTTCTCTGTGTTGACAGTCTTAAGCGGCCGACATAAAGCACCATAGACAAGAAAGTTTAAAAGCAAGCCACTTATTAATAAAAATGTTCCTCTCATACCGTAAAAGAAAATGCTTCGTTCTAATAAATAATTAAGGGCAAATGCACCAACTCCAGTTCCACTCTGAGCGATTCCTACAGCCACGGTTCGTTTCTTCTTAAAATAACATCCAACAATGGTGTTACCGGCAAAGTACGATATTCCGACGAAAGTGCCTGAAAGAAGGATTGAGAAACGTAACGAAGAGGAGAAACAAGCAAGCTAATCATTCAAAATGGTTTGTTCGTATAAAGAGGGACGTAAATAACAAACATTGTCTATTTATAAAATTGGATGTGTCCATTACTAAGAAATATGCTTTAGTTGATAATTGCTGCTTAAAGATTAAATTTGAAATAGTTTACATGATATTTGAAGCAGAATCCATCGTCTCTTTTTGCATTTGTGTCCAGATTATAATCCCAGAACTCAGTATATACATATCTCAAAACAGCCAATATATTCATGTAATCGCGAAATATACAATGGTATATGTAACTCCTTAACTGATTCTTTTTCTTTTCTTATTTGCAACTGCGCATGTATTTACTTACATACTTAAATCTATCTATATAGTTCAATATACATAACGGCATACGAAAGTATATATAAAGAGGTACGCTTCTTAAAGTTGCGAACAGAATTTAATTTTCAAAATATGTTTTTATACTACCAAATAAACTTTTGTGGCAATTCACATTGAACAAACGGTATACAGTGAATTCAGTCAAAATTAGATAAGGATTATTTATCAGTCTATGAAATTATTGGTCAGACTTTATAAATTGTACTATTAACATGTAGGCTAAGTAGTTGTATTGACTCAGATCTTTAGCCTTGGTTATCGATCAGTCTAATAGAAGGACAACGTTGAAAACAAAACAGTATGTATAGCAAAGCAGATATCATTCAGACAATGAAAGGTCGCAGAGCTCACACTAATTCCGATTACGATCAAGTTGATAGACAATGCCTGTATATATTAACGCAGATATGTATCTATAAAAATACCAATGTTTGCAAACATTAGATACATATTTATTTTGGGAAAATCTATGACAAAGTGGAAAACAATTCGTGTGAGGCTTTCGACCTTTACGACTAACGTTTATGTTTACTTTAATGTGATTACACATGCTCATGAATGAGAGGGGAGCTGAAATTTTAAATTTAAATTTTTAAATAATTAAAGTTGTTTTTTTGTCAAAGTATTTTTCCAAACAATCACTGTATTCAAATTTTATCGTTTGGTTTGCGAAATTGAACAAAATGTAGAGTTTGTAAATCTCGACAAAATCGGTTAGCGATAACTTCAACTATACAATAGGATTTGGATTCGATCGGTCTAGATATAGCTATTTTAGAGAATGTGACGGACTAACGGAATTCGCAAAATTTTATATATAGATTCTTTCTGCATTTGTATAACATGACAACACTGGCATAAATAATGTATGGGAAAACGATATGCAAATGTTATATGAAGACAAAAGATATATTTTACAAATTAACACATTCAATTCTTTATTTGCTCATCATAATGCGTCTGACCATAATTGCCATTTAAAAAAAAACTATTCTAGTTAATGGAGAAAGCAAATTTATGAGAGTAAGTAAAAAAAAAAAAAAATCCGCACTTTCACCTAAACATAACTGTGTTATAAGTGCGGATAATTTTTGACTTTTTCCTTGTACTAAGTCGAAAATATATAAAAAATTCTAGTGTAATAAAATGCTCTCGTTTATAACGTGTTCGGCGACTAAACCGGTTTCCTTAACAGATTTTTCTGGTGGCTCGACAACAAATAGTATTAAAATCAACATATGTCAAAAGGGCGGATGGAATGTCTTATAGGGCCAACTCCATGGTTAAAGTGGGTTTCCTATCTATGTATGCGGTCAACGTAGTGATGACCCGTCATCGGTAGCATTGTAAAACCTCTCTATCACAATATGTCACATGCACTAACTATGGTTCGCCAAATCGAAAATTCTTGACCTTACTCAATTACAAAATATTCATACACTCTGATCTTCTGATTTAGTTTGAGGTGGCTTTACCAAGATTATGTTTCCTATTAATAAATCCCGGTGGGACTCATACTCCTCTTTGGATCGATTCGCTCTAAAGATTAAATAAATCTGGATTGACTGATTGTTTTTTTTTTACGGTTTAACAACATTTTACCTGTTATTTAAAGCAAGAAAGTATTTTTATATTGTAAGAATTGTTTTTTTTTTAAAGATATTAATGATTTACTGATATAAGTCCTACTTATGAACCCATACCGTGGAAGTAGATTCTTAATATTCCCAAGAGTATTTGCGCTTAAGTGACTATAACGAAGTCAACTGGAACTGGAACTCCGATTTCTAATTCCAAGCTGTTATTTATTACACCACCCGCACCCCCAGCTTTACAGCACCTAGTATAAATCCGGTGAGAAGACGTATCCTTGTCGTGCTCCATTTCTATTCGTATTTATTTATTCAAATTCATTTTCTTTCCGTGTACAGGAGTTTATTCCCACTGAAGTTTCCGGATTATTTTAATATGTTTCCCAAATAACTTGTGTTATATCAGCAATTTAAATAGATATTGGGTCATACTTTAAATGATTTTGCATAGTCTATTAAACATAGGTATAGATAGTTTTGCATTTGTATGGCTTTCTCTGATAGCATTTTGATCGCATTTCTTCTTCCGATGATCTGGAGCTATATAGTCCTTAACTTATTCTCGGTCTAATCCTTCTACGCGCTCAGTTCATTGAAATCCGAATAATATGCTTAGTTCTGTGGCCCATTAAACTGATTATATGATGGCACTTGCATTCATTTGCACATGGTATTTTATGAAGATTGATGTAGAAAGATCTTGAGGTAGGTTTCAACTGTTGTAATGGTAATCGTAATGGTAGTATTAGTCATTTTGCTACAAGGAAACACTTGGTATTCTTTGACGGAGTGGTCAGTACTGCTTTTGGTTAAATTTTTTAAAAATCTTTCTCTTAAAATTTTTTCCAGGAAAACAGATTATTTAAGTCCAGTCGCTGTAATCGTTATTACGAGTATTGATGAAAGTTTCCTTTCTAATCTTTTAGTTGATGTCGTGTGGAATGTCAAGGTCCTGATTATGTTATTATTTCCTCTTCGAGTTATATGTGCTAATTACTTTAATTGTCACTGCTGTTAGTAGTTCATAAGTGATGCTTATTTTTGTTATTTGTTACAGTTTTTTGTTCTTAATTCTGTATCGCCAGCTCACAATGTTTGAATGTTCTTTGATAAAATCATCAGTGTTCACGCGATCAAAAACTTTATTTTGATCTTAGAAAGCGGTTCCATAGAGCCAATAGTTTACATATTTGAACGCTTTTTGCGCCAGGCATGATATATGATATCCATATGAAAGACTCAATCTGAAGAAGCTATTTAAGAATAAGAGTCGAGGTTTCAGGTTGATGTTTTGGTTTCGTAGTAATGTTTGGTGTTGGTACAAAGTACTTCTTCTGCAGACTATTCTATTTCCTTTTTTCCTATTCTAAATTTGTTATAACTGATCCATAAACTGAAGTATCTGAGGTGTTTAGCATTTATTAGCCGCACATCCTGAATATTTATGACAGATTCCAGTAACATCTGGACCGGTCTGGACACTTCGACATGCTGTAATGGTTAGCGAACTTGTCTTGCTAGGTCAGTGATTCTCAATCGCTGTGCCGCGGCACATTAGTGTGCCGCGCTATCCTCTTAAGTCTGCTGGGATTTACTGTCACAAAATTTCGAAAAAAAAAGCCACCAGTCACAGGTGTCACAAATGGTTGATATTGAAATATAGTAAGTTCATATTTGTGCGTATGTATTTTTATTTTATTGCTTTATTTCATAATATTTAAATGTATATCTTTTAAAAATGCAACGTAATATTTTCATTTACACCTTGGTTTGCCGTCGCTTGAAATGTTTGAGAAACACTGCTCTAGATCAATTACAACTTTCGGCCTTGTGCCACATCTAAGTTACGTTCAGAAAATGTCCACATCTGCTCCGGCTGCTTTGTTTCCGTCCATCAAGGCCATTGCTTATGTTACCTCAGATTTTGATATTTCAGGTTTTTCTGGTGCTGAGTGGTCTCGGTCTTGAGTTGTCTCAGTCCTGGGTTGTCCCGACGCTCAGTCGATGGTGTTCTGTCGGCGGTGTTGAGTTGTCCTGCACGTAACTGGGTACTGTATGCAGTCCCCGGCAATCCCAAATATGCTTAGTTTTTTTTTTTTTTTTTTTTTTCAATAAGCCACTAAAGGAGAATAAATCGTAAAGAAAATAAACCAATCCATGATATCGTTCGACCATGTCACTAGAGCGTCTCTTAATATATTTTGTATTTCAGTCATAATTTAAGCCAGCTTTTCCCAACTTGTGGGTTGTGTAATGTTGAAAGGTGACACTGGTAGTTTTTATTTCATTTGGAGGGTGGTGAACATACTCAGTGGGGCGGTGAGCATTTATCAATTTTCTTTTCAAATTCTCAAAAATTAACCAATATTGGCTACAAATGAAATTTCTGACAGGTATCTAAAACTGTCGAAAATTATGAAACTTTTCTTCATTGCTTTTTCAACTTCCAATATGCGAAACTATTAAGCCAAAAAACAACAAAGTCAATCATCGCATTGAAAACCTTGAGATAAGATATCAAATAAAAGTTTTCTTTTAGAATTTTAATCATTGACATTTATAACAGAAATGAAAAAATATTGAAATTGTTTTTGCATTAATACGTAAGTTTAATCTTAATATTCGAAATTTAATTTGTCAAAAAAGTTGACAAAAATGTTTGTGTCTAAAGGGTGCGTTGGTTGAAAATGGTTGGGGAACGCTGATCTAAGCTATTATATTTATTTTTAACGATGTCAGCATACATCTGTTTGTAATTTAAATCGTCTCAGAATGAACTGAATTGTAGTTTAAACATTGATTTCGAAATCTTTAATTTCGATAATTTTAGATTGTGCTTCAATAAGTGTAAGTGGCCACCAGTGAGTCGGCATTTGGAAATATCTTCGATTGTAGAACTGAATTTGTACCTTGTATTGATTGTCATGTCGTCTATCAGGTTCTTTGCATAACTTCCTGATCTTTTACATGTCCACAAAAAAATTGAGTGCTTTTGAAACCAGACATTGGATCAATTTTCTACGCGTTCTTTGCAAGATCCTCGTCTTCACTTGATGATTATGTAATACCAACAGTATGATTAATATCTTCAGGAATACCGAATGGAGGACTAATTTATTGAAAGATTTGCTCACATATGATCGATGGTGAAAGAAACAAAATGAGTGAAAATGCAACAAATACAAAGTAATAATGAGAATTTGAGAAAGATAGATATCGATTTATATAAGAGGTGCAATCTTTCTTACCTGAAAGAATTCCATACGTAACATAAAGAACTTCGACATTATGAGCAAAAAAGCTCGCCAATGTCGACAGAGCAGAAACAAATCCTCCGCAAATGATAACTTGGCGATGGCTTGCATTAAACGTCATCAGAAGCAACACAAACGGACCTGATAAAGGAAAAATATTGAAGTCAAGAATGAAAATCACAAAACGCTCAATCGTTTTACTTTCATCAATTTGGAAACTTACCGACGCATAACATGATACCGCCGAAAATTGAGCCGACCATGGCTGTTTTCGAGATTTTATCGCCATAAAGGTCAAGCAGTCCAAGAAGTAGAATACCATTTGCGACATTCAGTCCTCCACTCGTAGAATTAATCATGAATCCGCCAAAGCAAACCACCCAACCCCAACCTCCATCAGGAACCTGTAGAGTGTTTTCGCCATTAGGTTCCGCTTCCGTTTCCTCTGTACGTCTTTCAAGAGTACATCTGCTTGTCTGTTCCATTCTGAAAAATAAGAAAAGAATAAATAATACAATAATTAACTTTCAATTTGATTTCTGTAGATGTAAATTAACCAATTCATCAGCTGCAAAACCACGTAGAGGACTTTGAACTCTTTCGAGACTAGAAAGAGTGAGGTCTGGGCAGTAGAACTCCATTTCCTAACTCATCTGGTTCTTCCAAATAACCCACACACGCAAGAACGCACACAGGCAAGCACACACGCACACACACGCACACACACACACACACACACATATATATATATATATATATATATATATCACAACTAATCAATAAACATATTTTCATATAATTAACTGTACACCGATGCATAATAACTAAATATGCATAAAAAACAGAAAAAAATTGATTTACTAGAAATATATCCCATTCATCCATTTTAATGAATGAAAACAGTATTCGTACAATTCAAATTTCAGATTTTAAAGCTTATAAATTGCTTTAATACTCTAGATTATTCAAGTAGAATATTTTATAATGTTCCACTAATGTTATCAGTAGTTACATTTAGCCTAAAAAGTACAAACAGAACATTCCGTAATTGATATTCGTGCAAGAATTTTATCATGGCAAGAGGTAAAACATTGAAAAATTCGCAAAAAATCTAATTGTGAAGCACTGGGAAGAAGATAAAAGTTACAGGATACTCTTAGACAACCTGAGTATTCCATTTACTACCATTAGTTCATTTATTGCAAGGTATAAAAAACTCAAAACTGTTGGAAACCAAAGATGAACAGGTGCTCCATGGAAAAGTTTCTTTAATATGCCAAATTACAAAAAAATCCAATTGTTAATCGTCAAGATGTGCAGGATGATTTGCTTTCATCAGGAATCTGTGTCACTAAACGGATAATAAGAAAGGAAATTCATACAAACAATCTAAAGTCATGCTCCTCTCAGAAAACTTCACTGCTATTGAAAAGACATAGAGATGCCAGGTTAAAATACGTTCGTGAATGTAAGAATAATGAAAATCGTCTTGGGAAAGATTATTATGGACAGACGAAACCAAAACTGAGTTGTTTGGATGTAATTTTAGAAATTATGTATGGGAGAAATATGGCGATGACTTCAAACAAAAGAACATAGTTCCAACAGTAAAATTGGTATTGTTTTTCTGCAAAAGTTACTGAGAATTTGTGGCGTTATTTGGATATTCAAATGAAATCGAGAAATCCAACAAATATTCCGAATCTGAAGACCATATTCGAAGAAGAATGGAACAAAATACCAACTAAAATTTGCAAATCATTGAGAAGTACAAGAAGAGGTTCGTTTTATATAAAATATATCTGTTAAAAGGCAATATGAATAAAGACAAAGAAAAACTTGTTTTAACCGACGCGTTTTGTCCTCTGAGGAATTTTATCAAGAAAAATGTAAGAATTTATATTTTGGAACATTTATAAACAAAAATAAAATGTTATTTTTTTTTTCTAAAATTTTAAGTTCTAAGTTAGGCTTTCCTTTTGTATATATATATATATATATATATATATATATATATATATATATATATATATATATATATGTGTGTGTGTGTGTGTGTGTGTGTGTGTGTGTGTGTGTGTGTGTGTGTGTGTGTGTGTGTGTGTGTGTGTGTGTGTGTATTTACGTATGCATGCCTGTATTTGAGTGATCCCCTAAATTAAAGTCCAGATAGGCATAGATTGACCGAAATTAAAACAGTCTGAACACAAAGCAAAGGAGATATGCAATGTTTCTTGTAACATCCAAAACAATAATGACTAACCGCTCATATCCGAGTATACCTGCCTACATAAGGCTGCTAGCAAATCCTTGTTACAGACGCATGCGCTGATACATTTATGTCCTGTGGAACCACTTGTCATTATGAATATATCATTCTAATCATTCAATAAATATAATAAAAAAAGGTCGCATACGACTATTTTTAACGCAAAAATCAGTGGAATGATAATGAAAAATATCCACAATTGAGCTCCATGAAAGAGAATGTGGTAAGTTTGACGGGGTTTGGTATTTAAAATTCTTAAAAGATAATGAAACTCTAAATGTTTGATAAGATAAGGGACAAATAGGAAACGTATATCAACGTAACGTTTCAATTTTATTAAACATTCGTCAGAAATTGAGAGAAAACAGACAAAACTTTGTTTGGGTGAATTCTTGTTGGACAGTTACGTATCGCATGCATTAACACCGTAGATAATTCTATATGTATGTTAGTCTGTAAAATACTCTAAGCAGTCATCAGATGTTAATGTGTATTCCCAATTCAGTATATGTGTCTGTTTTTTGTTGTTCTAATGTCTTCACCTCTGTGCGATCAGCCGTCGCAGTGGGGTTGCATTCTACTTCTGGGATTGTGTTTTTCTTATAATGCGCATATTCTTAGTATTAGATTTTGACTCAACGAACACTCGTTGCCACTTCTGTAATGTCAACGAATACTCGTTGTCACTTTCGAAATGCTCGTTGTAGTAGAGTCTTTGTAATCACAGATAGTAACGCCGTTGAACAATGCTTTTGTCAGACGCCTTCGAATAAGACTCGCACTAATAGTACTTGCTCGATAATATTCATTCGAACAGTAATCTATATAGTGATCCGAATAGAGGAATAGTATAGTGAATAGAGTAGAGAATAGCGGTCCGTATAGTAACAGGAGGATAGTATAAAATGGCGATCCGAATAGTAATTGACTAGAAATGTAGATCAATTAGACATACGCTACCTCCCATATATGCGTCTTCTCTATGGTCACGTGGTCTACTTAATTCAATAATGGAATCGCTTATTCCGTAGAACATAAATTACCTACGAATTGACTCGATATATAATCGCCTATGTTTGCTCATTGGTTATCTATGTTCCAACTCAAGTTTCGGCAGCAACACTTTATTCCTCTATAACAATTAGATAGATATCAGCTAGATTTTTTATGAATGGAATCGAAAGAAGGATGGCGAAGTAATGTAATGTTTTATGCGTGTATTTATAGTTGGCAATATTGTTATTATTAAGCTTTCAATTTCGTTTTAAAGAATTATCTTCTTTTTTACTACGTGTGGCATTAATGAAATCAAATTTATGTACAGCATCGTTCCTGTGCAACGTGAGAGAGTTAGATCGTTTGTCCAAATGCTATCTCTCTTGTGTTCGTAGATACGACGGCTTAAGATCACGTGACATGAGCTGAAATGTGTATTAAACGTCCAGCAGCTTCCTCGTGTTCATAAATGTTCGCTTGCCGATAGGAAATATGTTGTGTAAGGTTTTAAATAGCAAGAATGACACCTAAAGGTTTTAGACCTCGGTTGGTCTGTTCCACCGCACTAACCATATTCATCTGAATTTGCACCAACCGATCGTTACTTTTTTTGCGATCGCTGCTAAATGTTTGGCGGCTGAAAACTTACGCTGTTGAAAATCAGATTCAAGAGTTCGTCAAAACCTTTATCGCATAAAAACCTGTGGAATTTAACGGAAAAGTTATCAATTGTCATTGCAAATAACAGCGAATATACAGGGTGCGATGGATAAGTTTTCGTCTAAATTACGCAACAATAAAAATAACACTGACATCTCATTTTAACAAATATATTTACCAAAATTTACAAAAAAATTCTTAAAATACTGAAGAGCAAATTCTTTCGATAAAATTGTAATTGGCTTCAACCACGGACTCAAGAAAACACCAGAATCTCCTCCAACTCTTCTGGACGCTCTTCTTGTTTAAGTTGGTGAATACTTCCATAATCCTTGCCTTCAGTTCATCTTTGGTGCTACAAGAAGTTTTGTTGCTCTCTGGCTCAACTGCCCCACAAAATTAATAACCAATGGGGTTGAAGTCCCATGACTGGGTTCTCCTGCATGAATAGCATGGTGTATAGTCCTGCTGCCAGACATAGGATCTTCCAGGTGCCATCCTCTTGACCCAGAGCAGCACTACCTCCTCAGGGCACTTGATATAGGACTCCATGTTGATTCCGAGGCCCTTACCAAGAAATTTATCAAAACGATATCAAATGACATCGAAGAAGAAACTAAAGCGATCAATTTTCCGGATTTTTAACCATTAAGCAGCGGAGTAATTTCGGTTGGGGATACAGCTTGAGGGTATCATAATTTATGTAAAAATAGACTAAGACGAATGAGAAGAGGAATAAACCTATGAGGAGTCGGTTGTTTAATGAAATGCGATTAAATGAAGAAGAGAAAAACAAGAAAATGGATGTGTCACACTTATGCACAGTATGCAATAAGTGGGTGTTATATATTTAAGAAACAGACAATTAAAAAAAATAAAACAAAAAATAAAGAATAAGAAACAAAAAAATAGAAAATCCTGTTTTGCAAATCAATAGAAATTTTGAGCGAAAAATTTGAACTTGCTTCACCGATTCCGTTTTCCGATCTGTCAACTGTTACACAGCGGATTAATTTCAGCTAATCACAGAGACTGAGAACATAAAACTCTGCATACAAAAAAAAGTTAATGCTGATCAGAAAACGATAGCAGCCTATTAACATCGCCGTATATTTGAATGAGAATCAATCAGATGATGTTAGGTGAAATGTGAGTTAATAATGTAAAGAAAGTAAAGAAAATTGGCGTGGTATGCTTTTTCTTGCTCTACCTGTGCAACACGTGGCTCCATTTAAAAAAAAAACATCAGCCTCTTAAAAAGCAGCATCGACAAGAAGTATAAATTTCTAAGTACAAAGTTCTCGGTATTCT